AAAAAAATTAATAAACAAAATTTTTAATATAAAATAGAAATTATAAAATTACATTAATTAAGTTTTAATATAAATTTAAAATAAAATAAAATAACATAAATTTTAAATAAATTATTTTAAAAATAAATTAAATTTTTATAAATTTAAAATGAGTACAAATATAACACAAATAAATGTATATATATACATTTTCATCTTTATTTCCAATTTAATAAATTTAATATTATTCATTTCATATTTATATTCAATCAAATCAGATGTTTTTCGTTAAAATTCAAACGAACTTAAATATTACCTATAGCTACAAATTCATTAGTTATCCTCTTATATATCAGAGGGCTGCTAGGATTTCTTTCTTTCATTCTCATTTTTAGCCTTGGGAATTGGGATTTCCTATTGTATGATGAAAAAAAAGAAGTTACATATATTATTACAGGTAACGTGATGAAAACCAAATTAGAATTTTAGAATAGTAATATGCGTTAATATTTAATAGAATAATTTATTATGTATATTGTAGCAAGTTGAAAGACAAAATTGATGATGCGGCAGAGACGTCGCAGTTTGCCAAATTGACAGTAAAATGGAGACAGGAGGGGCCATGGGAGAGACCCTTCAACTTCCCATGAATATGATTGCGTCTTTTCTCACTTGCGTCCCCCGCCTTTCTAAACCACTGCCAAGCTAGTAGCTACTGCCTTTTCGTTCCTATCTCATACCTGTCACTTTTGTAAATTACATCATGTTCTATATTAACTTTATTGTAATTTTTATGAATAAAAGAAAACTCAATTTTCTTTTTATATGCATGGCTTTGATTACGGTGAACTAGCAAGACATGTGGTTCATTATTAAAAAAATTTAATAAATAAAATTACATCTATGAAATATGAATATTGAAGCAGAAGTTGTTACGGAAAAAATCATAATCATGATGCACGGCGGCGAGGATGTTGGTGGTGCCAAAGGTGGAGTACGGGTTAGCAGCGGAACTGCGGTGGACAGGGGTGTTTGTGAAAATAAGGCGGGGATGATTGACCACAAAAAAAATAATAATAAAAGAAGGGTTAAATAGTAGTTTTATATAAGATAAAACAAATAATTAAAAAAATTTAAACACAGTAACACTATTTCATTTCATTTGTACCCCGAAAAATCATATAAAAAAGTTGCTCACCGTAACAATCGCTAACCTTTATCTCTCTTTTTGTCTTTCCTTTATAACATGAATTTATTACGAAAAAGGAGTTTCTATTGTATAATTTGTACGTACTTAAGGTGAAACATAAGTAACATCCATCAACTATACTCTCATATTACCGGCATATATCCGAAGAACAAGAGAAATAAAAAATCAAAAGCTACTCGGAGATAGCTCCTCAACGAATAAGGATAGATCCTAATCAATTTGATCAAAATCATTGGACCTTATCATCTTTATTTTCGTTAAGCCCGTGTCTTGTTTCTTTCTCAACTGCAACCGCAATTTCGCATCATCAACATATTAATTAAAAATCTGACTTTTCAACACCATTTGAAAAAGAAAGTAAAGTCATGTACCCCACATCAATGCACAATATTTCTGAATCTTTTCTGCCCAAATAACTTCTCCACCCTCTGCTTTCAATGATTAATTATTTAGGGAGCAAAATACGAAGAGAGAGAGAGAGTAGTGTGTGTGTAATACGTAAACAAACTAATCACCCGAACAGCAAATTAAATGTTGATGTTAATAGACCAGATTAGTAGTAGTGTAGATAATTATAACTAACTGATCTCTCCCAAAAAAATTTCTTCTGGTGACGTGGGGAGGAAAAACACCTCAAAATCAATAATTAGGCAGCGACACAGTACATGTTTGATCAATCATAACAGGTAAAGCCATAAACACCGGAACACATAATATCTAATTACCTAAATTAATTGCCTATCTAAATCTAGAACTAAAGTATGTGTCAGTTGGTTTCTTCTCTATGAAAATGCTGGAATGAGATAGAGTATGATTCGTTACGAATAATAAATCCAAGCCATGCAGCCATCACGCAGCAGTATTAGGACTACTTGAGAGTCAGCTCAATGTTTTGGTACCCTCCCCATGTTATAGTACTGACTACTGTGCAGAAAATGTATGCAGAAAATGGGAAATTAAGAACCACACGCTCAACTTGAATATGCACGAGAGGTTCCACACTTCCACTCAATTTTGGCTGAGAAACTGACCCTACTCACATGCTAGTGGTTGTCTAAACTTTAAATTGAGGGGAACCGAGAACCCCACTGGTCCCAGTTATTGGAGCGCGCTTATTTCATGAACACATAAACAAAATCGCGTCCTTCTTGGATGAATCTTCTTCACAAAAAACCAACGTTTTCTAGTTTTGTCCACGTTTTAAAAATTATTATTTTCTCTAAAATATCTTCATAACGGATTATTACGACTTCATTTTATTATGACATGCAAAGGACAAACAGAATTTAATTTGAGTCCTATATATAGGTTACATTTCCTTCCCATTTTTCCTCACCCAAACAAATATAAACGAAATCTAGATAGAAAAAGAATGGAGGCCATTTCTTCAAAGGTTCTCATCACATCCCTTCTCATAATTCTTGCTTCTAGTTTGACCACACACTGTGAAAGAGCATACCAAGAAGCGAGCACAGCGTTCATCAGAACGTCTTGTAGTTCCACAACTTATCCAAGACTCTGCTACAGCTCCCTAGTGAAGCATGCAGACTTGATCCAAACAAATCGTGTGGTTTTAACAGGCACAGCCCTTAACGTGACTCTTGCATCTACGAAATCAACGTCAGCAATGATGTCAGCGCTGGCAAAGAGCCGAGGGCTGAAGCCAAGAGAGGTAGCAGCGATGAAGGACTGTGTGGAGGAATTGGGTGACTCAGTGGATGAACTCAGAAGGTCTATTGCTGAGATGAGTCATCTTGGACCCTCCGATTTTGAGATAACAATGAGTGATGTGCAAACATGGGTGAGTGCTGCTTTGACAGATGAAAGCACGTGCACTGATGGATTCCAAGAGAATGCCTCTGATGGTTCAGATATTAAGACAACCGTGAGAGGGAGAGTTGTTCAGGTTGCCCAATTGACTAGCAATGCATTGGCTTTGATTAATCAGCTTGCCAACTCACATGGTTAATACCTCACTTTCAAACTCCACTACATACGTGTTGTTTGTCCTGTTACCCGATCAGAACTGCAACATGCGTAAAACATTAACGCATGTTATCAAAGTAAATTTCTGATTTTGATGCACCAATAGTATTTATGGTATTGTATTTAAGTTTTATGATAGCTATTTTTGTATAGTTGCCAAAAATTAATGGCAACTGTGCTGTGGTTGTTTTTATACTGCTTGTCTCAAGTTTTGTGATCCTGGTTCCCTGGCTCGTAAACTCCTCAAGTTAAATGCTCTTCAATGCTGCAACTTGGTGTTCAAGTGTGAAATGGTGTAAATACGTAATAATTAGTTGAGATTTATGTTCCCGCTACTTTTAAACTGTTTATGTCTCGTGCAGCTAGCGGGTGAATTAATTCTAGTGCTGTGAATTAGTAAAAATTTTGTACTGTCTTTTCATTTGTTCGGTGGATCATTTAGTAAAATTGCTATGGTTATATCAAAATTTTAAACTTATATATTTGCTCACAAAGTTAACAATGTTGGGTAGTTCCTAAGCTACATGCGTAAATAAAATAGCCAGATGGAAAATCCTAGTCGCTAACCATTTAACCAAACTTACAAATAACCACAAAAGTTAAACTTTCGTTTAAGATAAAATAAATATCTCAAATTCTAACGATCACTACAAATTAAAAAATAAATATATATTTTTTCATAATAATTGTAACAAGAAAAATTGTTTGAGAGGGAAAAGGAAAGATATTATATTATATATGAGTGGAGTGGATCAGTTGAGGCTTCAAGACTCAAATATGGGATAGGATGGAAGAAGCCACTAGCCAAGATCAAGATGTTCACAGTTCACGCACGTATGTATTACTTTAATCTTAAAATTAGTCCATCTGATGAGAGAGTTTTATACCTCCTACTTTGAATAAACTCAAATTAGAAACTAACCAGAAAACATCTCCCCCTATATATAAACCAAAACTTAATTGTCCACCGCACTATTCCAATAAAACAATTAACAACCCCTATACTTTGATATGACATATTAAAGAAAAGGCAACTCATTAGTAATACAACCTCTTGAATACTCACAAATGTATCTATTACACTTCCCCTGAATTTTTTTAATTTCTAAAATTGTTAAGTTTAATTATTTATTTAGGATTTTTAAGAAGTAAAATATTATTTTATTTAATTTTCTTCCACTCAAATATTATTTTATTTAGTTAGGATTTTTAAGCAACTTGCTCTTAACTATGGGTCACATATCTTTTTCACTATAGTTCAACTAATAAAGACCTCCAATTAATTGAGGCATTTAAGAATATTTAATGTGTAACGGCACATATCAAAACCTTTGAAATTTATTCAATTCTTTCATGTTTTCACTTGCTAAATATTTTTTTATTTATTATAATAATATAATCAGAATTAAATCAACAAATAATACTTACGTTGTTATTTCTTAATTGTTGCATTACAAAATTTAAGATATACATTCCTGTATCACTCAAAGTCTTTTACTTTATTGTATATCTCCCTAATTATATACTAAAAATAAATAATAAAAATTGAAAAGGCTAAAAATTAAATAAATTCAATTACATTATTTTTCTACAATTTTTTTTATATTATTCTATTAAGTTTATATATAATTTTTTTTATAAATTTGTTAACAAATATATTTTTTATGCATTTTTTAAAAAGAAAAATATTGAAAGTGATCAATTGAATTTTAAAAATTGTCTTTAATGAAAATTTATTCTTATATATTGAAAGTTAAAATTAAAGAGAGATTTAACATAAATTTTTTAGAACTTAATCTAGAATTACAACTACAAATATAAAAATTACTGAAAATTTTATTATTTATTTAATTATAGATGATTTTTGTGATATAGAAAATAAATATTTTGTATTTTGATAGATTATTAATCTACTTAACATTTTGAAACAAACAAATATAAATATTTTATTTAAAATTTAATGAGCATATATTTGATGTAAAACTTTTTTTCTCTTTCGAGTCTGGCTTCGTCCCTGCGGTTAGCATGGGAATTGGCAAGCTGATTTTATGAGAGCAAAGAAATTGGTAGTGAATTGAGCCACATGAATAATGAACAATGAACAATGAACAATTCTCCCTCTCACTGTTGTCTTAATATTTGTACCATCAATGGCATTCTCTTGGAATCCATTGGTGCAAGTGCTTTCATCAGTCAAATCAAAGCAGCACTAAAATAATTGGCACTTATCATGTCATGAACATTTGGACCGCATTAACTATAATTGTGACCTACCTACTTTCAAACATCATCTGAAAAAGAAAGTAATGTGGAGTCGATTCACATCGTACTAGATTAAATATTTCAGCCATATTTTGCCTAAAATATCTTTTGCTGGTATCACTTCTCAGCCTCAAGCTTGCAATGCGTTAGTTCTCAATCTCATTGTTCTGTACCAATAATTCATAACTTCTTAAAATAATTTATAAAATAAATAATAAAAAAATATGATATTTGTTAGGCATGTGACAAAGATATCAATTATTGTAAGTAATAAATAAACAAAATTTCAAATATTAAATTCACATCGATTTACTCTACGATTAATTTATCTAATTTCAAATATAACTATTTGACTTTAGAAAATTGTTTGTCTTTAGAAGTGAGAAAGCATAAAATTAAGAAAATAATTCGAGGTTTCAAAAATAGGAAACAAATTTAATTACTAATTGAAAATTCTATGATAAGAAATGTTAGAGATTGAATTAAATAACTTTATATATATATATATATATATTAATCACATATATACTGCAACATTTTCACTTTCATATAATAAACATATCCCTCTCGTATTATTCCACTCACTGTTTTCTTAAATTATAGTCCTTGTCGGACTATATATATATATATATATACTTTCCAATTTTTATTCAATTTAAGTAAATACAAAGATAGTTTATTAACCAATAACTTTATTTAAACACTAATTTTTTAGACGTGTAATTATGGGTTTCTTGATAAAAAATATCATTTCTTTAGTAAAATTTATTAAACAACTTGTATTAAGATAAGTGTTTCCCGATTTCAGAGAAAATTATAAAAATCATGTAATGAATAATCATGTCAGAATAAATATTAAGAGAAAAGAAAAAATAATTAACTAAATAAATAGATTTATTGAACCAGAAGAATTACATGGCATTTGTCAACTACATTAACAACTAGAATAATTAACTAATGTTGATAGGAAACCACATGTAAACTGCTATTAATTTGGTTAATTATTTGTAATAAATGATAAATCAACTTAAGCTAGCTACCAATTAAAAATATCGATCTCGGCGGTCAAATCATATTGATAATCATATCTCTCCGAGTGATGATAAACTGCTAATTAACACATCAAATAAAAAACAAATACTAGTCATGTCACATCCAAGAAAAACAAATTACACCACTAATTTTTAAAATTTCAACGTCCAAAGAATTATTTAAGGACTGTTGACGAAAGATACTAACTAACTAAATCATAGAGAAAAATCAAAATATCAAATATTTTTCTATATATAAATTATTATTTTATGTATCATTAATTATTATATTTATTAAATGTAGCATATAATTAAATTTTATGAATATAATAAAGGAAATGATACTTTTTTTTTTCATGAATATAATACACACGATGTTCAAAATTATAATTAAGGATTAATATGTACTTATAAGATATAATTTATATATGTATATTAAAGGTATAAGTATATTAAATTAAGATTTCAATAGATCTCTCTCTCTCTCTCTCTCTCTCTCTCTCTCTCTCTCTCTCTC